ATAATAGTACTTAAAAATGTAGCCTGACAGCTCATATTCGTGTTACCCTCGAGTTTTAATCATTCCCTTCTAAATTGTTCACCGATTTCCAATATTTACGATTTATGTGATTATCTTACTATCCTAGTTAAATTTATGTATATCCGTAACATCGTGTTACCCTTGGGTCTTAATCTAATAGTTCCTTTCTATTGTTGCGAATATTATATTAATTATAATCATTTCCCGATTTTTACTATTTACGATTTATGTAATCCCATCTATGTAGTAAAAGTCATAAGGACTTACATCTATGTATGTCCGTAACACTTTTAATTGCTGCTTATTTTCTGCGGGGTTATAGATTATTAAATGTATTGCACTAACTAATTTTGGAATACTATTATATGCGATGATATTTCTTTTCTATAACAGTTTGGTAAAATTTCAGATAAAAAACGTAGCGATGTTATTACTGTCCGTTTAACAAAAACGGCATTAACATTAACATAAAAATTTTTAATTATTTAACTTTTTGTAACGTCTTCAATTTGTTGCTATTTTCAAAATTAAATTACAAAATATGTAATGCGTTAATAACATCTAGTTTTCAATAACTATATGATCAATCACGGCCGAAATTCTACGAAAATAAAAATTATATATCTATAAATAATATATCATCGAGTATATTATTTGAAATGTTGAGAAATTATGAATGCTTTTGTTTTATGAATAATACCACATGCAGGTTCTATATTATTGTTCCAAACATATCATTGAAATTGAATTATTCGAAAAATACTCGCAAATGCACACGATAAGTTTATACAGTATACGCAACAACGTAATACAAATACAATACGTGTTGCCGCATTGCACGTATGTCATATTATTAATGTTTTCCAATGTACGTATTTGTTACAGTATTTAATTAGGGCTGATACGTTTATACCATACAATATACTCGTATGCATACTATATGAGTAATACATACTCCATAAATCAGACCAATTGTGACTAAACCACTTCGAATTATCTAATTTTAATGTTTTAAGAAATAAAAATAGTAATATATTTCAATATTAAGTCTAAAATCAATTCGTAATGCATAAAAATCATAATGATAAATATATGCTTAAAATAATAATAACACTTATTATAATATTTGATAACTTGTTTGAGGCAGAATTACAAATGATTATCAGCAGTTATTAAAATTGCAACATTATGTTTTTTAATTTAACTCTAATCATAAATATTTTTTATAATAATGTATAGTAACGTAATTTTATAAGAACGTAAATTTGTTGTATCCATTGAATGAATTTATTTTAGAGAAAAAGTGAAAATATCAACTTAAATCATCAACCAAAAACTCGTGATAACGCGTATCGCCGTATCCAATGATTTATAAAACTCCCAATAGAAAATGTTAAAAATTATTTATCATCCTGAAATTCCTCTACCTTTAGTGATATTTGATGTGTACCTTTTGGTGCAGATTACCAAAGGGGTGTTGATTTGTATTAATTTACAAATTTGCATGCTTATTCCAAGATTATATATTATTGTATTATTCCAAGTGTATTGAGGTTGATGCTGATATTGAGGTCATAATATTGTCTCAACCGAAATACGGGGTCTTGTCGATTTTATACGGATGCAATATATTATCAATCCCTAAAAATACGTATTATTCTGTATGGATTCTATGAAGAAATTCATTTTTATTCTATTTTAGTTATAAATATATTATGATTTCTGTAATCTTAATATATACGAGTATAAGGTATTTATTAGACTTTTAATTTTAATTGTAAAAACTAATATATATAAAAAAAATGACTAATATGATATACGAGTATAAGATCAAATTACCATATTAATGTTTTTATTTAGCAGAGCATAATTCTTCAATAAAATTTTATTTCAATATTTGTACTTATATTTTCAGTGTGTATATTAATTTAATTTATTATTTAATATGATAAAAATAATAAATTCTAAAATATAATATTAAGTTCTGAAAAAAGTGTCTCAAAAAAAAAAAAATCCTCTATTTTAAAATTGAACATTCATTGTACCATCCAATTTATTTATGTAATTACAATTTTACATGCCCTAAGTCCTTTGTGGGTTATTGTTTACTATACTAAATTATTCACGAAATATTTCTACAGCATCTCGAAATAAATGTTTTAATTCGAATTTTTATGATGCTATAAAACGAAGGAATTATTCCAAATGTATAAATTGTTTTAACGCGTCGCAAAATCATTTGGATATTTAAAATATATATAATATTATTTGCGTTATACTGTACTGGAAATTACTATTTAAGTAATAAAATATTTTTTTAACTTTCAAAAATATAGAGACGAACGTTTTACCTTGCGGGTAATATAATAATATTATTAGTGTCTACTAGCTGTTGCTCGAGGACCTATCAGAACCCTACAGTCATCAACCGCAAAGCTTATCCTATGTTATTCGACATCTCTTCTGTTTATGTTATTTTAACGTCTGCCCTTCCTGTGAGGTCCTACTACACTCGTTCAACTACTCTCGTATAACCATAGCTTAACCCTCCACAAGCCAAACATTGCCGTGCATGCTGTCAGTTGTATTTTCCAATAGGATTATCCCTTTGCGCTCATCGGTGTTTACTAATTTGCATTTTCTTAAAAGCGGTTTCTTACACAAACCGTAACCATTGTTCAGGTAAATGTCCTAAAACACTCTCATTAAAGACGACTTTTTGGCACTGACTTATTCGTTTCAATAAAATTATTTTTATTTATTCTATACATATATATTATTAAATGTTTTCATGTTTATACTAATTATGTTTATTAAAACAAAATGCAAGTAGTTATAAAACACTCATGGAAACAAAATGATGAAATTTAATAATATACGATGGTTTTTGTTTCTTACATAATATATTGGTAAATAAATAGGTCAACCGTGTTATTTTTTATTCTCTTACACACTAAAATTAAAATGTATGTATGAAATCAAAATTATTGTATAATAATAAATGATAATATCCTCCTAATTCAATATCAACATAGAACCGAACCTATTAGAGTTATCGACTTGAAATGTTGAGAATAGATTAATACTATAATTTCAACCTGCACTAAGAAAATATTTTTCAAAATTTTGATTTTAAGGGGTTGGAATCGGCAAAAATAAATTTTTATGTTTAAAGTGTAAAATTTATAAGCATATTATATGATTATATCATAAATAATTCAATAATAATATTAGTTGGCTGATAACGTTTGGTACACGTGTTCCGGGAAAATATATTTATTTATTATTATTGTTGTTAATGTTATTAATATATGCATATGTATATAATTCAAACCACAATTATTTATTTACATTATCTATTTTTACCAGTAATGTTATAAATACTAAGTGACATGAACGTACAATATCAACGTACAAGCACATATAATATACGTTACACCGAAGTATACCATGATTTATTTATCTAAATTCAGTCTAGAAATAATAAAATAAAATGAATTTCACGATTCGTGTACCATGAAAAAAATCAAGTGCCTAGAAATGTCACGGAGATAAATTGTCCTCACAAATTACAGAAAAACTTGCACGCTTCCGTTTGCTGTTGTTTTTTTATTTTTTCTCCATTCTTAACTCATTACACCAAAAGGTTAGGTGTTTTGTAGTATTTACATTTATACATGCCTCATTTCGAAAAAAAATATTGCGAATTCGTAATATGCATCGCATATCATTTTTTATACATGTAGTACACATGTGCACTTGTATTTTCTTTCAGGATCATATACGAGCTTTTAAAACATCTTGATAAATTTTATAGTACCTCGAAAAAAATGTAAGTGTTAATACGTTCGATTGCACGTAGCATATGTAGCGAATAGCCATATTCCAACGATCGAGATGCCGTTACTGTTGGCTGTTGTTGACCGTTATAGTCACACATTGATTCCGAGTAATGCGAGGTGTAGAATAATTATACACACACACACACACACACACACACACACACACACACACACACACATTATATATACGAAATAGCTGTTCGTTTTCTTTGTACTCCAAATCAGTTTCAAAATCCACACCTTTGTACAATAAGTATACCTCGCGATCGTTTTGGGTGTAGCATGATGTGTATGTGTGTGGTGTATAGTTAATCTCGCAAAAACTTTATGTTCCTATTTTCTCGCTGTACATTTCATCACCGTTCGTTATAGTATGTGCCTCACGCAATATATATATTATATATATAAATACAACGAATATATTGTTTAGTATAAGTACCTTTGTACCATTTTAGTTGTAGCGCGAACACCTGTCATCATTCCGGAAAAAAACAATAATTACCGTTGCCCGAACATACCGTTTTCGTGTTCCGCCATAAAAACGGTGAACCAACGACTATCATAGGCGCGCGCGTACGAGTAAGTAAAATAATACATACTTGTTGCCGCATCCCGTACGTTGTGTTGTAAATCTCGTTTAAAATGCATTTGCACGAGGTTTTATTTCTAACATGGACAACTGTATGAGCCCTAAATGCATATCCACATACGATCTACAAACATTTGAAATTAGAGCTGGATATGTAGTTTTTTTGTTACAAGGAAACATTTTAACATTTTAACATTTTAATTTTAATTAAAATTAAAATTTCACCAAAATGAAAAAAAAATTACTTGTAAAAAATGTATTATATTTACTCATCCTAATTTAATTTAAATAATTTAACTATAAAAAAAAAATTATGGATTTTCATGAAAAAATTAATGGTATCGAGGGGGCTACCGACATAATATAGGGCGAGGGCCCACAGGGAAAATCCCTTCTTCTTTATGGACCTATCCACCTCTGTTTAATATGATATACGAGTATATAACCCGGTAAAATTGATAAATTTCTTACGATCCATGAAATATTTTATTAATTTGTTTACTATTTCTATACTATTACTAATCACATTACATTTTATTTTGTTACAGATATCAATCTAATCACTGAATGAAAATTCATTGTATTTTCCAACGGGTAAGCACTTTTGCTATTTTTTACAAAGTAAAACTAGTGATTTTAATACAATTTCCATTTTATAGGGTCAAAAAAGGTTAAATAAAATTATAAGTTATAAATATACATCTAAAAATACGTTTATTTAATATATAAAAGGCCAATAAAAATATATGTATTCAAATATATCATGAAAATATTTCATAATCCTCTATAAGAAACTTAATTTAAAAATATAACTTCAAACATTATTATTTCATTTAAAATTCTTTATAACGTAGAAATACGTGAAAAATACAATTCATAATTTGTTAGTCTATTTTATAACTCATAATATTTATTTTGTAAGATATTATTTCATGCATGTTCCATAAATTTTATTTTTTAAAATTTTATTAGATTAAAACCATGTAATAACGTGTTAAAACTTAATTTTAAAAAGTATCTTAAGTACACCCTTAAATTACAAGTTCATTTAAAAGAATCAAAAATCCTAAAGTTATCAAAACCTTGTTACCATTTATTAAAGACACAATTATTTATAATCAAAGATTTTACATAAAGTACACAATATTGAAGTCATAACAAGTGATGAGAAAAATCCAGATTTTCCGAAGTTCAAAAATCTGAATTCTTGAAATTTGATATTCGAGATACAGATTTTATTCTATACTCAAATTTTGGAATTTAAAAAAAAATGTAATTAGTATTCTTTTATGTTTTACTTACAATAAAGTATTGATAACTAGACATGCTTTGTAAGTAATTCATCTTATATATTAAAAAAAAAATATGAAAACTAAAATGGCCGTTCTATCCGGCCGGTTTTCTTCATTTTTTTTTTTTAAATTAAAGGTATTTAGTCACAGATATGTCATCAATCATTAAAATTTACTCAACTCCCACCTTACTTAAGTTATACTCAAACGCGATTTTTCCCTGAACATTTCTTGTGAGACACATTCACTCAAGCAATTCGAATTCTCATAGCTCCTCTTCTAATAAATGGATCTTGATCGTTTCACTCTCAAAACACTCAGTGGATCAAGCTCTTTTTTTTTTTTGAACTGTTAATTGCTTAAATTCGTTGAGTTTGAAGAAAGTTATGTGTATACAATCAACATTACTTTCAATTTTTTTGAATTCATTGGCTCTTACCAATTATTTTTAATAAACACTCGTTCATTTCGATATGTCTTTCAATTTTCGATATTATACTCATTTATTGATTTGTTAAAATGTGTTTATGTATTGATTCGATTGCATCTATACTCTTTATTATATAAACAAATTATCTATTGGGATTTTTTGCAACGGGTATACTAGTAAATACAGAATTCCAAAATGTTAAACCCAAACTTCAGATATTGAAACACGGAAAACTGAAATCCGAATTAGTCGGATTATTGAAGAATCTGGATTTGATTTCCATCATTAGTCATAATTCAGTTTAGTTAAATATATTTTAAATGGATATATATGACGAAAGAGCATTTATTTGTATTTCTATAATTACGAGTATGTATATACGAGTAAATTGTAAAATGTCTAATGTAATAAACTAATAAGTAATAGGTAAATAATAAATATTGTGATTGTTATGATTTGATCCATCTCAATACCTATTACAGTAAAAAGGGTAATATAACTAGTTACAAAAAATAGAAATAGTAAAAAATATAAATAGCTATTTCTATTTTTTAGTTTAATATTTTGAATCTTTTCTTAAATAGACTAATTAGTCTGATGAATATAATAAGTTGCTGCGTATAAAATGTTAAGGGATCAACCACGTAATCCGAGTTGATAGAAAGTCATAAAAGAAACACTTGACCTATCTCCCGCTGTGCGCACCCCGGGATATTATTTGTCACTGTTTAAAAATAAGTAATACTTCGCACTGACCTATCCAAAATTTCGACTTTATTATATTATACTAAAATTTATAAAATCTATAAAACTATTTAAACTTTGTATGACTATTTATGAGACGAGTATTAAAGTGACGACATTAAATTGTAATTATAATAATTTTCCTATAAAAAAGTCAGTTAAATAATATAATACACATATTTTAAAATAATAAATACAAAAAATATTTATTCGCGTCTCAATACTTCATAGTTTATACAATAGCTGCATAAAAAAGGACCTTAGTACAGTAAGTAAACTATTACCCTCAAACTAATATTACTTTTATATTAAAATTTAAAGTATAATCTTCATATTGTTATCATAATAATAGAAATCATATAGAAAACAATAATTGAAGGCTTATACACGTATTATAATCAGTTTATTTTATATTCAATTAGTCTTTAACCATATGCAGAAATACATTTTACAACAACGACATTCACGATTATAAAAATACTATACTAATAGTATTATATATATAGCATAAGTAATAATATAGCATTAAAATAAAATATTGACTAAAATTGTAACATTATTATAAAAATTTTCATTGTAACATAAACTGGTATTTTTTTTTTTGATATTCTATATTATTTTATTTAATTATTATTATTTTTTAGAAATTTTTTTTTATTTAAATGAATTCATGTATTAATATTGTCTTTATCACCGAAAATATCTATTGTCGAAATAACAGCACCGATACAGCTACGCTGAAATGGCCGCGCCGAAAAGTCCCATTCCCGGACCGTTGGTGTGTGCGTAGGAAAGGTAGAAAATCAAGACGAGTGGAGGTTTAGGACAATGGTGGTTTACCCCAAATAGTTGGGAGAAAAGCGAAGGAGAAGAAGGTATTTAAAACATCTATGAGTATAAATGTATTTCTTGCTCGTTTTTTCTTTCAACTGAGTGAACAAATTGATCATTATTTCTTCATGCACATGAATCCCTCAAAGGTTCAGTATACGAGAATTTCCAGCTTAATATATATCTATATATTTGTATACACGAGTGTATATGGTCGTACTTCTTACCTACGTGAAAAAAATAAAACGAATTTATTTTCATATTATCTCTACGTCAACTGCAGTTGCTTATCGTGTATGAAAAATAATGAAATTAATATTTATTTTTTCGTTACTATATTCATGTAGGTATATATAAAAAACAAAGCTCAATGGCATAATCTATACATAAATGCGAAATTAATGCATCGAGTCACGCACAACACAAACATTTTAAATTTAATATGTTTTAACTTATTACTCGTGTTTTAATCATGGCATTTTTTTAGGGGGGGTGAAGGGGCGATCGCCTCCTCCCCTGAATTCATATTTAAAGAGTCGATTATATTTGAGATACACATTTAAAATTTTTTAATGTGGATCATTTTATAACGAAATCAAATTATGCATGGCTGTGAATATACTGAATTAGGCTTTTTGTCGGGTCCATACTTAGTAAAAAACTCAAATAAAACACAAGCGAAACTTTCAAACAGTTCTTAAAAAAGAACTACATAAAAGTCGATTCTAAGTTAATCTGGCATTAGATTAAAAAAAAAACCTCAAATATTAGGGATTCACCTGTTTTAAATATTACCAAAAATTTTACTTGTAAATTTTGAACCGAATTAAAGAAACAATTTGATTCCCCCCCCCCCCATTAAAATGTAAGTCTATATACGCCACTAGTCTTAATGTCTAAGAATGGCGTACATCAATGGTCAATAATCATTTTCTTATGACTATTACTTCACCTGAAATGATTTTTTTATGTTAGTTCAAGCGATCGACGTTTTCTGTTCTAAATCGCAAAATGTTTAACGTTTTGTTTTAGCGAAAATAATGTGAGCAATTGAAGTTCCAACACTCGGCTAAACGTATTTATATCATCTGTTAAATTAATATTTCCCTTTTCGATCAGCGCAACTAAGTTAGCTATTATATTTGTCTTAGTAATGTAAGCCAATACTAAGTATAAAATATCATTTGTTCCGATTTTGGAAATAAAGTAAAATGTTAACAAAAATAACAAAAAACCTAGTATTTTTATGAATTTATACTGATTTTGAACGTCTCACTTTGAAGTCGTTAAAAGACTAACTAGATAATTTTATAAACTTTTATCAAGATTTTACGATAATATCGCAATGATTTTGCGACTCTTTTAAATTTCAATTAAACATCATCGTGACTATTATAATTTTTAGAAATTCTATAGATAATCCCAGATATTTTTATAAGTATAAATTTGTAAGGCAATGGATAAAATGTATATTATGAATACACAGTAATTTATATAATGAACTATGTAATAAATATATTTAATATTATGAGATAAGAGTACAATGCACATTACACCAGCTCGATAATGATAGAGCATCATATTATGTGTCAGACTATTTTTAAATATTTGGCTTTTATGTCGTGTAGCTTTAACTCCTATCTAAAAATAGGTTTGTGTAGGAGTTTACACTATCGTTTATCAGGTAAGAACGATCTGTTTAGGAGATTAAATTGTTTTAAATTTAGTTAAAAAGGTCATTCGTGTAGGTCCTACACTGTAGGAGTTCATATGCATCCGTTCGTTCCAGGTCGGATCAATTTTTGGTAAAACAGTCTTCCAACAACTGCAATCACTGCGGTATCGATCGTCAAGATCCAAGAACTATAAATGTAACCGAAAATAATTTTAAATAAATAAAATACTAACTCAATTATTAAATATAAATTAGAGGTCCTTATTTCACGTCTACACATGTATGTAATTTCTCATCTAGCATAAATCGGTCCAAATCTTTATACCTAGGATCTAAAAAAATTGAAATATGACTAACTGAAATTATTTAAGTAATTTAAAATTAACAATCAAACCACTTTGTTTATTCAAATATTTCAGTTTCTTCAAAATCTTTAAAAAAATACTGTCATCATCTCGTGATTTTAAATGATTTTCTATGAATTTGTAAAGCAAAGGTCTCATCATAGACCCCGGAGAATGATTTTCTTTACAAAAAATTGTTGTAAGGATATAAAATGGCTTTAATAAAGATATCAAAATTTCTATTAAACACTATTGATTTTCAGTTGTTTCTAATTTTT